TTCGCAGTTGCTTCTACATCTGCTTTCATTGCCTCTGCTGGAATGTTGTGTGGTCCTGCTGTTTTGCCGCTCTTGATTTTTCTGATGGCCATACTTATCTCTGCAATTGTTGGTGGGAGGTTCGTGGATGCTGCTTCGATGTTCGGTGTGTGTCAGTGGAGCTGGTCGACTCAAGAGTTCCTGAAAGTGCTCTACCCACCTATTTCTCTCTTCTTCAGTGTTGCTGATTATTTTGCCTTCCTTACTTTTCACTGGTCGTTCTAGTTTGCGATAGTTACCGGCGAGCTTCTTTGTTGTTTCGTACAATTGTCTCAAGTTTCCGTCTCTTGCAGCCTTTTCCGCCGTCATTGCTAGATATTCCACATATTTTCGTTTGTCAGCTCTGATGCTCTTCTTCACTTCCCTGTTTGCTTCTGTGTATGCAGCTTGTGCGCTAACTTTCTCCGCACTTGTTCGGCTGACATTCACTGCTGCCTTCTTGTTCCTCCTTTCTTCAATTTTTGCAAGAGTATCAACAGAGATCCATACCTTGTGATGGTACTTCATGTGACCCAGAACCTCCTGATATGTTGAAGTGATTGCCTCCTTTATCCCCTTCCAATTGTTCTCCAATGTTGCTTCCTCTCCATCAAGTATATCGTGCAAGGCCTAAAATCTATTGGCGAGGGCTATATTGAATTCGTTGAGCTTTACGGTATCCCGCAGAAAGGCCATATTAAACTTGTGTGATTTTGTCCGCCTCGTTGTCCAGTGTTTCTTGAGTTTCAGTTTCGTTTTGGTGACCAGCGAGTGGTGATCTGAGGCTACATCAGCTCCTCTCTTGGTTCTCACATCCTACATGGTCTTTCTGAACGTTTCGTTGATACAGCTATGATCAATTTGGTTTTGAGTAGTGTGGTCCGGTGAAATCCATGTAGATTTGTGTGGGAATATTGTGCCACCGATGACCAGTTTGTTGAAGGCTCATAGGTTTGCGAATCTCTCACTATTTTCGTTCCTTTCTCCCACTCCATGTTGTCCCATTGTCTTCATATTCAGTGTTGTCCATTCCAACCTTGGCATTCATGTGTCCCATAAGGATCGTCAAATCCTTTGGTGAACATTTCTCGACGATCGACTGCAGCCTTTCATAGAATTGATCTTTGTCGTCGTCATTTTAGTGGTTGGTAGGTGCATAGCATCGGATGACGTTCATTGTAATGTCCTCTTTGTTTGTTTTGAAGGATGCTTTAATGATCCTCGGTCCATGAGATTTCCTTGATGTCAGTGCCTTTTGTTTATGTTTGGACAGCATCAGTGTAACTCTTTGTGCAGGTGAAGCATTTTCCTCTTCATAACCAGAGTATAACAGCAGTTCGCTTTAAGCAAGTCTCAGTTGCCCTACTTGTGTCCAATGCATTTCACTGTTGCCGAGCACCTCGAGGTTGTATATTTTCATTTCCTCAGCAACTTGATTTCAGAGGGAACTCGGCTTTAATCACGCGACGTCATAATTCTTCTTGCAACTCCCAGGGCAGAGTTAAAATTTTTTGAATTATTTTTTATGGTTAGCGTTTTTTTGGCAAGTTACTTTTAGTTGGGATATGGTCGTCAATCCCATGTCCAACCTTCCTCCTTTACCCGGGCTTGGGACCGGCAGTAGCTCCGAAGGTTCTACTGGCGGAGTTCCACTGTATTAAGCAAGAAGGTATTTCACCTTGTGAGGAAAAATTGCGTGCAATAAAGGAGAACTTTCTACCATCAACAATGAGAGAACTGAAGACATTTTTCTGTTTGGTTAACTTCTACCGACGTCTTATCACACATGTGCCAGAAACACTTCGACCACCAACCGACTTACATCGCGGTGATCCACGTAAATTAGAATTAAACGATGCAGTGCATACTGCACTTTCAGTGATCAAAACAGCTTTGGCTCAAGCCACACTCTCTGCCCATTCTGACCAATCAACCACGATTAGTATGGCGGTTGGTGCATCGGATTTCGCTAAAGTATTCGTAATGCAACAGAAAGTCTCTGGAAGTTAGCAACCTCTTGAATTTTTCTCTCGACGCCTCATTTTAACAGACACAAGATATAGCGCTTTCGATCAATAAATTCTAGCAGCTTGATGACCCATTAAGCATTTCTGGCACACAGTAGAATGTTGCGAATTCATCCTATTCACCGACCATAAGCCTCTAACGTATGCTCTGCAAACCAAGTCTGATCGCTACTCACTACGAAAGTGCAGACATTTAGACTATATCTCTCAGCTCACGAAGGACATTTGTCATATTAAATGGGCGTCGAACTATAACGCCAACGCTCTGTTGCGTATGCAAAAAAATACAGTTACTTTACCGGTATTCCATCCCCCCTCTATGGCCTCGGCTCAATCATGTGATTGCTCTTGTTCCTTCAGTACCGGGAAATACCCCTATTAGCTGAGGTACTCCACTGTGTGATACTTCTACTGGTTTATCACTACCCATCATAACCTACGCTCATCATCGTTTCGTTTTGATGCCCATCATCGAGTGTCTCATCCAGGTATCTACGCCACATTACGCCTCATCGCCTAACTATGTGTCAGGCCGCCTACGAATTAAGATGTCCATGTGTGCATTGGGTAATCCTAAAAATGTCAACGATCAAAATGCATGGGCACTTAGCTGCCCCTAATGGCACACTTGCTACGCCTGATGCTTGGTTCGATCACGTTCAAATAGTCATCTTGGGACCGTTGCCACCATCGCACTGGTGTGATCACACACGTGCATAGATCGTCTCACCAGATGGCTCGGATCTATTCCTGTCTCATCCATTGCGGCAGACATAAATGATCGCCACTTTAAAGAACGACTGATAGAGCAGCCCGGTTGTCCCACGACTGTCATGACGGACCGACGACAACAATTCTTCTAGCTTAGTGAGGCGCGCATACGTCCTACCGCCTATCCCCCAACAGTGGATGGTCGAGTTGAACGGGGGCACCGCCAACTCAAAAGTTCTCTTTGAGTACTCGAAAACAACAAGTGGTACGGAATCTCACAGCTCGTCCTCTTAGTTATCAGAACGAGCTTAAAGGCAGATAATCAATGGACCGCAACTGAACTTGTGTACGAACTGTCATTGCGCCTGCTCGGAGAATTTTCACACGACGGAGCAGTAATAATTTTGATATATGAGTCTACGTCTAACGATTGCTTGTTTACATGCCAATACTGTCTATGGTATAGACTCGAATACATTGTTGACAGGTCGCTTTCCCCCGAGAGGTCTTTACTTGTCTGTATGTTTTAATGAGAGTAGATTGGGTACGAAAATCTTAGCACTAGCCTTACGAAGGAACTTTTCACGTGATAGCTAGTCGCGAAAAGTATAAAACACAAATGATCATTTTCGTTTTTTAGCACGGTGTCTGGGAATATTTAATTGTGATAATTATCGTGGAGCTCCGGACATTGTCTTCTTTACTGATGATTGCACAGCAAGCTATTGGCGTCTGCTTTGAATCATTTAGTGAGATTCCATTTGCTTATGAGGCACCAAAGTCCTCGCTAAGCTGTTCTTTGATGCATTTAGTTTCTTAGCATACTTGATTATTTTTAATAATTTTGTCTCATTTCTCTTCAGAGCATTTAGGTTTATTGTGAAGGATTTCAATAAAGGTTGTGGAGTCATAAATAAGTTCAATAGAACGTTTTCGCTCTTCGATTTTTCGGTACATATCGCCTCTATCTTGAATGATATTTCTGACATTGTAGGTAAGAAGGAGATGTCTTCACGTCATGGAATCAAGGACACTTGAAGACGCTTACGTATATGATCTGGCATAAATAAATCTTTAGAAATTATGGGTCTGCAGTGACTTGACGCTTCACTTTTAATGAAGACATTACTGATGTTGTGATAAATTTTTTCAATTACTTTTTCGATAGACTTTAAAGTGAGACAGTTGGTGTGTAAGGTGACTTTTGAACTTCTTCCAATTATTCCTCGGATATTCACTTGGAAGTGTAATGGTTTTACATTTAGCAGTTATGGTTTTAATTTCAAGGCTGCAATTCATGACACTTTGCTAGCTACCTGTGGACCCTTTGATAGTATATTCGTCATTCCTAATCAGGGTAGCGGTGGAAACAATTCTGTGATATTATGATGTCTGGCAGTGACGCAAACATAATGAGGCCACTCTAAAAACTCGAAGCATTCAATTATTGACTGGAAAAAATTTTTTGTGCTTTGATTTGAAAGGAAGAGATTTCGTGTGCGTCAGAAACGTGCTTTTTCTGCAAATGATCAGTTGCTTAACTGCAGTTTGTTCCGAGTAATCTGAACCGGCCGCCACTACATTTTACAGACTACGAGTACGTAGGACGTCGGCGGTATACAGTAGTTTATCGACGAATAAGGTTCTGATAATAATTTCAAAGTATTTATTTAATTGTCTTGTTTTTGTAGTTACTGTTACACAGGCTCCAAATGGTGGACAAGGGATACTCTGTCAGGACTTGTGAGCAGACAGTTGAGATCCGTGAGTAATTCTTCTATTTGTCTTTTAAAAGTGCATGCCTACAAATTCGTGAAATGCTATGATTGTGGAGATAGCCGTTTTCCTGGGAATAGAGTTCCCAGCCAGAGTATTATGCTACACCTGCCATAAATTACGAGGCTGCCTTCGGGTCTCGCATGTGTGACGACATATGGCTTTCGTATTATTTTGTAAACAGTAGCTGATTAGACTCCAATTGGTGCTCTTCTTCCTAGGGAGCATTTAAAAAAATGGATCCTAATTGGCTGTTTGACAATAAGTCAGATCCCGACTATATGATGTGATGAAAAACGCTTCATCCATGATTTGTTTTGAGAAGAGAATCAGCAGTCTTTTCGAAGTCCTTTTTAATAATTCTAAACAAATCTACTTAAATTCATTTTATTTTGAACAAAAGTGTTCGTCTACGTAACGTCAGTCGTTTCATTATGTCTGCTATTCAAAATAAGTTATTTGTTTTCGATGTCAGATGTAACTGAAGCTCCGAATTCTCCTGATGAAGCAGGTTAGATATTTTTGAAATTTCAGCACAGATATTTATGCAGGTTTGAGCTCCACTCTCAAGTATGAAAAAAACCAATACAACAATGCTAATGTATTTCTCCCAAATACACCGGTTACAATCAGAATTGTCCATTCATGTGAATCTCAAATTGTAATAAATGCTGAAAATGCTCTCGTAGTTAGAAGCGAGTCGTTGTCAAGAAGGCAACTTCCTCATGGCTCTCTCTTGCTCACCAACCAGAGTTGGTATATATTATGTAATTTATTTTAAAATATTCTCTGTCTAGGTACGAGCTAAAATTGAAACATGGCGAATTCGAGTGGAGTGTACACCGCAGTCTTGCCGAATTAAAATCATTCCATACTTCTTTCATGCTGCAGAGAGCACTGCTGTCGATAAGTAATAAAAAGTAGTTCAAATATTCCTATATTCCTTTAAAAGAAAAGAAAATCGTACAAAACTTTGTCCCTTTCCACCAACGTTTGAGTATGCAAATTCAAATAACTTGTGTGACAGAAGGGTAATAGTGTTTTTTCTCAATAATTTACCTTAGGCTATGCTGGAAAGGTATATTCAAAGCATTATTGATGTACGGGAATACCGAGAGACAGATATAGTTGTGAGTTTATTTTTTTATTTCTGCATTTCTTAGGATAGTGTTTTAATATTCTGACTTGGTGATTGAGGCCAGTGTTTTACGTGCTAAGGTTGAAAGTATGTGTAGTATTTATCTCTGACTCTGGCAGTTTCCTGGAATCACAGTTAGAATAAATCTGCTGGTAAGATGCGCGTTAATTCTGTACTCAGTTAAATGTATTTATCTGACTAATATGATTTACTTGAAAAAAATGTGATCGGCATGCAAACTCACAAATAACTGTCAGTTGACTAGAATCAGTGAAGTCCAGTGGCCAAACCAACCTACGTTGAACATTACCAAATACCAATAACCGCAACGATAAGACTAGAATCAAGCTCAAAGAAATCAGTTGGTTTGTACCGGCCCGTGAATGAGATATTGGATATTGAGATTATTATAAATTAAAGGTCATTTTCATCCTGTCTTTTTAAGTAATAGTCAGATTTTAGTTGTAGGCCAACTTGATGTATGCATAACAGCTCTAAGTTTCTAAAACGTTAGATGATTCCTCTTGAAACTCAAAATCTTTGAGATTTGAATTATTTTGATATCCTTTCATTCATAACTATTTAGATTTGACAAGATAGGTTTGGATAGTCGTTTATACTTGAACAAAGCTATTTGTAACAGTTAGATGTTTTTAACTATGAAATTGCAAAAAGTTTGTCTAAACATCATATGGGGCTCTAATTTACTATGATGAATAAAAGTGCTAAAGTTGAACTTTAAGTAACAAACAGTAACTTCTACAACTGTCCAGTGCGCCTTTGCTTTGTCGTAAACGGACCGGAACTCATGTCAGAAAGAACGTAGTGAATGGATTCGGAATTATGATGTTTGTAGCTCAATCTAGATGCTGTATAATTTAAAAGGTCATTCTTAATATATACAAACATTATATTAACAGCAAAATAGTTAAATTTTGGTGAACGTTGGGTCCTATAAATAATTTCATATATGGAATTAGAAAAATACTTTAACCGTGTCATCTCTTGAAGAAGATTCGAAATTATACAACTAGCTAATTATCCTTATATTTACGTCAAATACTATATTTTAAGAATAAATACTACACTTGAAGAAAGGTCAATAAATTGATAACTATTCTAACCTGAAGCGCACTTTTGTAGAACATAGTCCTCATTCGCCTGTGATAAAGAATTTCATTAGTGAGCTTTCTAAAATAGAAATAATTTATTCCTATGTTGACGGTCTAAGTCTAAACAACTTTTCTACATTCTGAACTAATCCATTTTTTATAAAACTTGTAAGTCCGGTTTCTCCCTGATGAATCCTCCCAAGTATTTATCAAAATTTTTCGACTCTGATGGAGCTAACTCATTTAAAAACCCTCTCTTTATATAAAGTATTGTAGTACGTTTGAGATTTTTAAACTATAATTCACATTTAACTTCGTAAATTTAAAAGCTGATAATGAGTTTTGATTATTTTTTAGCTCAGACTTCTTGAAGTATCACCTTTATCTTTTGTAAATTGTACTGGAAGCTTGAAATTAAAGGAAGATTGTGTTAACAAATTGCCATCTTACAATTATTTTAATAAATGCTGTTGCGTAGCTGGAATTTGTCTACAGAGACGGTGAGTAACCTAAGACTGAGCAACGAATATGGTTATTGTATTTATTAATAATTGCACATGCAAATATAACACATATAAAAGTCAATCTGATATATAAACTGATTTCTAGCGCCTTATTGGATAGATAGTCTTAGCTTTGGTTATTTAAGAGGTCATCTTATTAGAAATTAACAAATGTTTCCATCGTGACTAAAACGTGAAGTCAGACATTTGAGACTTTATCATCACCTTACTTTGCAAAACAGGATACTCCAGGAAAAAGATGTTAATGATCGAGAAGTCTTGACTCTCAAAACACGTACGAGAAAAATGACATGAAGTTAGGGTGGTTTACATTACAAAAGTATGGGAGTTTAGATGATAAATTCAGTGTAAGCGTGAAATCATACAAAAATAACTCGAAAATCTAATTGAAGATATAGGCAGTGATCACTAATGAATTTACTTTTACTAAATATAAAACTATGGTAATTATGGTAATTATGGTAAACGTTTTATGTGCTAAACACAACTAGAGAATTTGCAAATCCTCACATATCTAAAGCAAAAAGTCTATGACCGTGTTAAACGGTACTATATTTTCATTTTCCAACCTGCTACAGTGCTAGATAGCACACAACTTTAAAATATGCAGTGATTAAAAATATACATAACGCGCCTCCTGGTTACTTTAAACAATAACTGTTCATAGTGTTATCATGACTTCTCCCCACATAGTCAGTGCTCGCGTAAAACTAAAAAAAGCTTAAGGATGTATTAAGTGGTAAGTGAGGCCATTTGATAAATTCTAACAATAACAGCAAAAATGAAGCTGAGTTATGTTTTAAAAAACAAGTCATCGGGATGCTTTAGTGTGAGGAATTCAGTAAGTCAGAAGATAAAAGTCTGATTGTAATAATGACAGTTCTTTCTCACCCCGAACCTATCTTGGCAGTAATTTTTTATTATCTATCTTCGTGAGTTTCACGTTGGTTTTTACATTATTGGTTTTCTCATTCATGTTTTCTCTTGCCCTCTATTTGTCTAGTTGACCCTTTATTTTCCATATGTAAAAGTTTTTGCAAGTATATGTTTGATCAGATTGTTCAAAATTTATTACGATAATATGTCACATGGTTCTGATAATTTTCGTCGTCTTATCCAAGTTTGTGAATACATTTTTAATCCCTTGGCTTTTTCTAAAATGTGAGTTACCGGAAAAAGTGGAAAAGTAAACTAACTACTCACCCAGCACATGCAATGCACTTACATTAAATAATAAAACCAATCAGTCATAATTAATAACTAAATAAACATGAATTTAAGACTATTTAATAGTTGAAACTAGAGGCCGATAGAGCAGGGTTTAAACTCACCTAGAGTATCATTAGTTACTAGTACTGATGTAATAGCACTCTAATTCCGAACTGTGACTTTGTCACTGAATTCAGCTAGATACCTGTTTGATTGTGTTCATTAAGTTTATATGCTCGATTTACTTACAAATGATTTAGACAACTTCAACAACTTGATCATATTCACTGAAGAACCTTTTGATTATATGGTATTATATTGAATATTCTTTCTGTCATCAACAACTACTTAATAATCAGTGTTCTACAATTGTGTGAGGCGTTTTACGTTCCGCTAGCAGTGAATATAAAGATACATATTTTGTCTAGACTTTGAGTTTTAGCAGTTATGTATAGCATGGAAAAATTACTCAAGTTGCACTACGGGAAGGTAAATCGACGTAGAGTTTCTGTTAATCGTCCTTCTACTTGGATGAATTGATATCTTATGTGTTTTAGTTACACTGGAAATGGGACTTTCCTAATAATAATTTAAATCTCACAATTCAAAAACTTAAAGCATTGCATTCTCAGTGAATCATTTGTAAAATTACTTCAGGTAATATCATGGGCATTCATACTACACGCCATAAAATCATCGGTAATCAAAAGCATAATAATGAATATGCCTTTACACATCCTTGACTGCAAAAATTTTGCATTCGCCCAAGTTGTAAAATAAAGTTTACAGTATTTTTTTTATCCGAGTTGGATATTTAGTTCAGTTTCTATTCTGTGGTTTATAGATCGTCTTTATTTATGTATTTTCATTTATAGGTGGCTTATACTGAAAGACAGCTATTTTGTATATATGAAACAACATGGAGATAAAGTGAAAGCGAAAGATATTGATAAATCAGAGAAACGAAAGCTAAGACTGGCGTTTTCGATTGAGCTCAGTGGGAAAAACCGGTCATGGCGTTTGTGTAATATATTCTTGATGGACCAAAACTTTGCGTTTAAAACGAAAACAGTAGAGCGATCGGGTCAGTGTCAGCTGAAGTTATATAATACTCTTGGGTGAGTTTTTATTTATCACCATGAAAGCTTTTCGGAATTACTGTGGATCCCGACACATTTATCCCGCAGATAAAAGATAACTGAATTCGAACATCTCAAGGGCTCTAAACAAGCTTGCCAAAGCAGGACAAAAAACAAAACAAGATCAGTTGAGAATGAAATCCAGTGAATAAGTTATCCTACGATTATTCGGTAGGCCAAAATTTCAAAAATCCAATACTCCACTGCGTCCAATTGCATTCCGCCCTAAAACCCCAACAAACAACTCATAAATTACTCCATCAAATCTCCCGTTCAATTCTGGGATAAACTCAAGGAGATTCAAATTGACAACGAGTTGATGATATCCTTCGGTATAAGTCTCATTCACCTCTATCTAACCAGACTTAACTAAAATACTCAACAATGACACAAATCTCCCAAAGTATACGAAACTTCAGAGTCTAATTCTACTAGAACTCATTGATTTATTCTTAAAAGTGACACATTTATCATCATCATCATAAGCAACGAGCTGAAGGACACATACAGTTTGACCAACAATGTCTTTGAGGACATTAAATTCTAAATGTAAAATCAGTCAAACAACGAGCTTCCACTCCTGTATGTACTAATCACCAGAACTGACACAGGAAAACTGGAGACTCAAGTATTTCGGAGGTCAAACTACATGGATCTAACTCTCAGCTACAGTAGCGACAACCGAAGAACTCATAGACATTTCAGAAATTTGAATAGGTGTAACACACGTACCAACAGAATACCTTCAATCAATCCTATGCAAACAAAGGACGATAGAAGAAAAACTAAACATCATCTACGAAGTAAACCGTTCAGACTTCGAAAAACACTACATCAGACAAAGTGATGAACGTCCTCTTAAGCTTCAATAATAATAAACCAAGATCAAGGTCAGCAGAAAAAGCTGAGAGTTATGCGCGGACAAATTCGAATACTTCTCTTCTAATTATGTTATTTCCAAGAACGATAAAAGCTCCACAGCTAAAACATCCAGCTTAGAGGACGGAACTCCATCATAATCATCCACCGGAGCTACAAACTTTCTCCAGCATCTTAAAAGATGTTATTTCCACACACTGTATGAAGGTCCTGTAATTTTAAAGGTTACCTGATTTCAGGAATACAGTAATTAATCTCTTCATCCTTGTCAGCCTTATTATCATGATTATTTTCGTTATAATTTTTATTCCCATTGGACTCGGAACAGTTGCAACTATGTTCTGAATGACGGCATATTTTGTCATGAACAAATTAATGCGACGTTTATTTCGTAGCTTCAACAACCTATAATGGGAACAGTCCAGAGAAATCAGAGGAATTCAGGATGCGTCGATGACTGACCTTTTTGGAGAATAATACTAACCAACTGTAATGGAGAAACAAACTCAGTTAAATATGTAAATTTCGCCTACACTTGATGCATCCGATAACTTACAATATAAAGTAATATTATTCCAAATGTTTTTATCACCTGAGAATCCTCTGAATTGAAGCTAGCTATGAGTAACTGATGGTAATAACGTACTCGTGCAAGAAACCTTCAAAACATTGTTAAGCAGTGTTGGTTTATATTACCAAATTCAGTATTTTCTAGGTTATTTGGTTGAGCCATTCCCTTAATGAAATCGCCCGTATTCTTAATTTATTCACAGATAACTGTGTTTTATTGAAAAGTATAAGTAAATTTCGAGATTCAATAGATATATTAACTTAAATTCTTAAATCATAAATTGAGCAAACCGCTTTAATCTTTCTCTTTTTATGTTAAAGTCAGAAATGTAGTAGTCTCTTTTAATTAATAATGATTTAATAACATGGTTATATTTACTTCCTTTTTTCATCGAAGAGAGTTAGTTGTAGTATGTCAGTCAGAAGATCGAATGAATGACTGGGACACTATCCTGTCATCACATATTTACCAAGATGGCACAAGAGATTTCATACAATACAATCGTTTTGGATCCTTTGTCCCACCGAGATCTGACACACAGATTTGCATGTAAGTTTATTATTTGAAAAAATTCAGCATACTGATGTTTGTTTTGATTTAGAATGAAAGGACTTTTGAAAAGAGTTCACTAAGCGGGGTTTGTAAGCTAATGAGTTTTAGACTTGATAAACGTTTTGTGTGCAAAAACCCCTGGAATGATTAATTTCTCAACATCCTTGTATGAATTGGATACAGGCAACCCAATAATCAAAGTCTATAACTCCTTTCTTTGAATTTCAATCGATTATATTTGTATTGGACACCAAGAATAGGAATACTTATATCAGAAGTCTAAATGAACTTAAAAAATATACTAGACAGTTAACTGAAATATCCGTTTAGCAATTTATGTAGTGCATCTCATTAATAATCACACAGCAGTTCATTCAAAATTTTTTTAACACAATCAGTGGTTAGCGAATAAAATTCTCTATCTAAGCCTAGATTCTCCATGAAATATTCTCACAAAAGCAACTAATAATTACTCAGTTGGAAAAAAGCAAACTGATAAACTAAATTAACTAATGTTATCCATTCAGCAGTGCAAATAAATAAAAGTGGTCAAAGATATTAAGATTGGCATGATTAAAATTGATCATAATCGGATATTGGTATCCGATAAATAGCTATACTTAGTCTTGCAAGTAACAAGATTTCTTTTATATTTAACTAAACGTTTTTTAGGTAAAATTCATCCTGCTACCTAAAGATACTTTATGCAAAATAATATCGAAATTTTTTATTTTGTCAAATAAAGGTTTATAGATGGAGCTTGTTATATGGAAGCTGTGGCTAAAGCAATCGCTCAAGCGCAACACGAAGTTTTCATTACTGACTGGTGTATGCATCCCACTGTATTTCTCAGACGTCCAGTGAGCGATAACAGGTGGCGCTTAGATATGCTCCTTCACGCAAAGGCGGTAAGTTCTCGATTTTCTGTATTTATATTTTAACAAGGATACTATTTACTAGCAATCGTAAGGTAAGTTCCATTTCGTTAAAGTGCGTCTTCCATAGTATGATAACCATCTTCGATTTTAAGCTGTCTTTTAAAATATTAGGCTACTGAGTTAGATGACTTTCAGTGCTCAGTCTAAGGAACTGAAATAAGTTCATTTATTAACACTAACTTACATATCATTGTACCATTTGGAAACTAACTATTTCTCTCATTTGTCTACTCAGTTTTGGGGAAAACAGGTGATACATAGTATGTAAGGTACTTAAGTTAGTAGGTTTAAACGTTTGAGACGATAGTACAGTTTGAGTAACGACCTTTAGTAAACCCAAGAGTATCTTTTCAATTGGAACAATTTAATGTAAATGCATGTAGGACGAGCTAGTTGATAGCAACAGAGTTTAAGTTTGAGGGAACATTTTTAAATGAAGTTACTTGTGTTGTTCATTCGAAATCATCCGGATACGAGTCAAAGCTGTGATACTGTTCAGGCCCCAAAACAAAAGCAAGAGATTTAAGTTGTGAACCGTTTCCCACTGAATTTTCAGTAAGACTTTAAAGATAAATGTTTAAAAGTTCAAAATATAGTGAATAGATGAGTGATGTATGTTCAAATTGTCTGCCGATCAAATTAATTTCGTTAGCTGTTTTCTTATTCAAGTTAACTGATATCACATACACTACAGTTCGGAGTTTATATTTCTTTTATTCTTGCATAAGTAATGCAAATTGTTATAGTTACTTAACGTCCTAATATAAGTTTTTGTAAAGCACTATCATGTTATACATTACCTAATACAAGTCATTAACTCACCTTTAAAATGTCATGATATATTTCTGATATTTTCCATTTTTCGAAAAGACCGCTAGCGGAGTAATAATAAAAATATATGTCATGTGAAAATGTAAATTACTATATAGACTCAGCACATTGTTATTATTGTATTCAGTTCTTAAAAGATTACTTAATACTTGAGAACAAGTCTTCATAATAATTATTAAACCAATGATTGGATTTATTTTTCCGAGCTTTTTCAGTTAAAAAGACAACCAAGTTCTCAACTACCTAAGGGTGTTGCATTTATTGACATATAAAAGATACAGTTGCCTGGATTGTACTACCTCACTAATCTACTGGTAAAGATGGAATTATAAAGGCTTATGAACTTTTAACTATCCAGAGAAACCACCTAATACATACAGTATTCTGAATGTTGACACAAAGAATAAAAGAAATTATTAGTCTAGACTGAGAAGTGAGACTATATTTTTGATATTTTTACGGGAAACCTGTTGGTCCAGATTAAATTTTTCGGACTTCGATCTAGCTAACGATGATATATGGTAGTAAAACGTTAAAGACTGGTCAAATTATAATTAACTCCTTGAGTTACTTTAATCAGGGATTATCTTTTGAGATCATGGATGCTTTCTAAGCAATATCCACTCATTGTGGAATGAGTGAGTTAGCAATATTTAGGTTGGAACCAACGCGCATATGTATCAGGCTTTTATTAATTATGATTGACTGAATGACTTTCGAACTACAAAATATATTTTAGAAATAAAAATTCTATTTACTAATCTCAAATGAGCACTAGGTATAAAATAATATGACCAACATTAGGGTTTCATGTATTGGAATCCCAATTCTTATTTTAGGTAGGTGTTATGAGCATTTTTGGGATTTTTCTGAATAGCTTCCTATCAATGCTCAGAAGGTAACAGTGATCGTACTTTAATGATACTGTCAAAATTAATAATTCTTATGATGAAGAAAATGTAGTGCTAAAATATGTCACGCTCAATGGAACCTAAACAGTCAGGAGTATATGCAACATTGTCGTACTAGCATCTGGCTTTATATTTCATGTCATTATGATTTCGATAAACTACTGACAAAATAATATGTCAAAAATAATAACTTTTAATCGTAAACACTAAAGACTATGTTCTATTGATGTGGTTCAATAGCATTAGCAAAACAAGAGCTAAATGTTATCAGAAAGTCAATCATAGTTTGACCGACATAAATTAGTGCTAAAGGACGGTCCAAATTGAGATATTCTATGAACAGGTTGATATTACTTGATGTTCATGACAATCCAGTGTCTCATATCAATCAAACGAAAAAGCTAAGTAGTAGAACATATTTCCTAAAATTCAACCAATAATAGATACTCTTCAGTTTCGGATATGACTTGTGAGCATTTATAAGACGCTTTAATATTAATAGCTAAAATTTTGTGAAAATCTTCCATTAATTTTTAATTTACTTACCATTTGTTTTACAAACATTTAAACATTTTTATGCAGAAACAAGGTGTTAAAATATACATATTGCTTTATAAGGAAAGTGAACTGGCTGTTAAGTTTCGAAGTTTAAAAGTAAAGCGTTGGCTTCGATCGCTGCATTCAAATATTTATGTAAGTCTATGCATTCAATAATTAATTTTTAATGATTACCAACTTCTTTGACAATTTTGATTTAGAATTTAATTTTCTTTAATAATTATTGGAAATAGAATATTGTACTGAATATAATTTTCGTGGTCAAATAAGCGAATTTGAGATAAATATGAAAGAGTTTCAATCGTATAGGGATAAGTTAATGCAATACGACAAAATCCAAAGCATATAATTATTTAACAATTAACTAGTTTGATGATAGTACCTGTAAAAATTGTCATTATAGACTCTAAACTGTGAATAGTCATTTCAGCTTATTTTCATATTAAGCGAACCAAATATGTTAGACTGAATCTGTGTCTAAATTGTACGATCTTAAATGAATAGCTCATTCCAGGACTTACTTGTGTGGGAAATTCATTCTAAAGATCATCAGTTGAATAAATAATTTTACGCTTCAAAGCTCAATCATTGCACAGATTACAAACTAATTGTTAGACATAGACGCTTTAAATAACATAACTTATAATAATGTTTGATCAGTTAGTTCCTGATAGGATATACTGATCGTTAGCTATGAAGATCTTGGTAAAGTAAGTCTTTTTTTAATTTTATGATATCCTGGATAGTTCAAATCAATTTTCTCTAATAATACCATAATTTTTTGAATCTGAAAATATCAGCAACAGTTGTATCTTTATCAAGTTTTAATTAGGTTTCTTTGGCAGCAACTTTTTTTAAAGCATCACTAACACTCTTAGATAGGTTTATAGCAGATTTTCACAAACTATCACCATTTATTTACTTACTTGTTTTCAACCTGAACCCATCGCTTCAATAAAGATATACCGTTCTCCGCGATCAACACGCTTATGGAGTCATCATGAAAAAATGGTTGCTGTCGACCAATCAATAGTCTTTCTGGGTGGAATCGATCTGTGCTTTGGTCGATGGGACACCAATGACCACAGGTGAGATATAGATTAAAACATCTTTTTTCATCACATTATTCTAATTTTGTGACATATTCTCATGGGGTAACTAACTGACACCATTGTTCTTCGAGTATAAATTTTCTCTGGTTTCATATTTATCCGAATTTTTGCGCAATGATACATTTCTAAGTCGAAAAACATGATGGATTTACACTATATGACTTCGGTAAGCTCATTTGGGATAACCTGGGAAATGGATTAGGATATAAAAAAGCAAATAATTTTATAAGGAATAATCAAGAGAAGCTTTAGTTCATCATTTAATTTGAACAATCTCATTCTTAACATTATTTTACCTTCGGCTTTATTTCTTCATAGACCTGAGTTATAGGATTTAATTAGCCTTTAAAGGCTTTTTCTGAGCAGAAAATCTTAGACTTTACGGTATACAGTAGGTTCCTTTCAAATCTGTTTAGTATGTCAAGTTTCTCTAAGGCTAGTTTTCAATTTTAAGATGTGAGACTCATGTGGGTGTAAAACCTATACCATTTGGTTCGTTTTAAAGTCATTTTGTGACCGCTCAAAACATCATTATCTATAGTTTGAAATTTTATCATCCATGCAGCGAGCTACTTGCCGTTTGTTCACAGTCGTTTCGAAAGTTCAAGATTACAAGATTTTATAATGAAATGTTAGACACAAGTGTAAGGCATGTAATTCAGAATACACACTTTAGTTTGTATTATTTGCACAATTGAAATTACTGAGAAATAAAATGTCAAATCACTTTTCTCCAAAACAGCATGAGAGACTAAAAGGAGTAATTATTGATTAAATGTTTTTGGGTAATAGCTGAAAGAATATGAAGTAAGGATGTGAATATGGTTTCAAGAGAACTCCATCTGGGGCCACTGTCGGTCCCAAGCCTGGATAAATGCGTTAGTGACCTCATGCTATAGAAAACCTACTTGCTAAAAGACTCTTACCAGACAAAATAGTTCAAACTATTTAAACTCCCCCCGGGGAGTTAAAAGTTTTTCATTTCGAATGATGAAACCCGAGTTTCTTCAGAATTCATGAGGCCAATGCCTCTTCTGACAACTAGAGCCACCATTTATATAGGTACATGAAACGCTAGTACTATGCGGGACACTGGGAGAGTTATCCACGTTGCTGCAGTAATGAAAAGATACAACCTGGTGGCACTTAGAATCAGTGAAACATATTAGACCCAAATTTGACAACAGATACTAGTTTCATGAGACTTTCTGTTGTACTCCGACAAAGAAATAGAAAATGCTCCAAATACACAAGGAGTTGTACTGATGATATCCAAAGAAGCACAGAAAGCACTGATAGAATGGGAATCTCATGGACCCAGGACCACTAAACCATCCTTCACAACAAAGAGGGAAGACATTACAATGAACGTATTCTAATGCTATCCGCCTATCGAAGATAACAATGAAGACGATATGGATCAATTCTAGGAGAGGCTGAAGTCAATCACTGAGAAATGACCAACAAAGGATTTGACCATTCTGATGCAAAACATAAATGCCGATGTTGGAATGAATAACAACGAATATGAAGACGTCATGGAACGACATGGACTAGAAGAAAGGAAGAAAAACGGTGAGAGATTTGCAAATCTATGTGACTGTAAGTAACTGGTCATGGGTGGCACCATATTCCCACATAAACGCATACCTGAAGCCACATGGATTTCACCGAATTACGCATTACAGGACCTAATTGACCATATCTGCATCAGTAAAAATTTCAGAAGGACAATAGGGGATTTAAAACCAAGAGAGAAGCTGATATAGCCTAAGATAATCAGTGCTGTTTGATTAAATGAAATTGAAACTCAAGAATCGCTTGTTAATGCACCTCTGTGATACCTTGGAAAGATTCAAGCGAAGAGGAACAAGAAAGCGGAATGGATCAGTCGAAAAAGAACAGAGAAAGCCGATGCATTTACTGAATACACAGAAGCAAACAAGCAAGTGAAGAGGAGCATCAGATACGACTGATGTAAATATGTGAAAGATCTAGCGATGGCGGCGGAAAAGGCTGCACGAGAATGAAACAAGACAATTTAATTATGTAGCAAAGAAGCTCACAGGAAGTAATCATAAACCAGAAAAACCAGTGTGCAGCATCATTGACGAGCAAGCTGAATCTGATACAGGCGAGAAGCCGGAGATCGGCAAAGCAGGGGCAGTATTTATACAACTGAACAACATCTAGAACTCAAAAGAACTATCAACCAACACCAAAGTCAAAATTTCCAATACAAATATTAAGACAGCTCTACTATATGGAGCGGAAACTTGGAGATCTACGAAGGCCATCATACAGGAGTTACAAGTATTTACTAATAGTCATCTACGAAAACTACTTAGGATCCGTTGGCAAGGCACTATCAGCAACAACCTACCGTGTGAGAGAACGAACCAGGTTCCAGTGGAGGAAGAAACCAGGAAGAAGGTCTCTAAGTGGATAGGACAAACATTGCGGAAAGCATCCAACTGCGTCACATGACAAGCCCTTACTTGGAACTCTCAAGGTCACGGGAAAGGCGGAAGATCGAGGCACACGCTAAGCCGAGAATCGGACACAGATATGAGAAGAATGAAAAAAAATTGGATGGAACTAAAAAGGGGAGCCCAGGACACATTATTTTGTAGGGTGATAATCGCTGCCTATGCTGTACTGCGAGAAACAGGAGTAAGTATGAATTGTAAAGTGATTGTGCAAAAACAAGTAAACCGATCGATATCAAAAATATCTAGTTCTTTTTAATTCAAGTAAAAGGCCAGAAGTTATTTAATTTTGTCTAGTGAATTTATTTGCTACAAAAGATGAGCCAAAATATTTTATTCTGAAAATGAAATTATGCCTTTCTTTAAAATTCTTTACAAGTAATTTATTTGTTACTTATTGTCATGTATACTTTTCGTCAGTAATGTAAGTTTGTAGACATAATTCTACTTGAATTATTTGTTTAGCTTATTCATTTATGATAAACCAAATTAGTTTTATACCAATTAGGAGCTATTGTTTTAGTAATGTATCGATTTTGTAATAAATACAATACTCTATATGCTTATGATTTTTCGAAAATAAAAAGGTTCAAATATATGAGATTCTATGTATGTAATGCTTTCTAAAGTGAATGAATTGAAAATCTGTATAATAACTAATCGTGACGCTGCCTTCCATGTTAGCTTTGATATGTCAGACGTATTGACTATAATAAAATTTCATGATTTCCTCGATGGCTGAAAATAAAGCTTCATTTTCTGAATTTACAACTAGTCTATTTGAGACACTAAATAGTAGATAAACAGTATAATCTGTTTTGACGTTTATCGAGCTTGAATGAAAAAATTCAAATCAAGTCCTATCCTGTAGCGTAATGTATAAAATATTACCTCATTTCAACGATAATATGCATTAAGATACAAGTATCGCAATGTTTTTTTAGAAAGTCGGCCTAAGTTCTGTTGTGAATCAGAGTTCATCAAGTTTATTTACATTTCAGTAGTCAATAGACCTACTATCATTAAATCATTTCAAAACTTTTGAAAAGTGGATGAAAAAAAAATGAATTGTATGTTTCTTGAAGTAAGATTTGTCATTTTATTTAATAATTATCAACATGCCGATTGTGCTTCTTTGTTCAAGTAACCAACAATACCGTTATTCGACAACTGGAATTGTTTGCTAAAGATTGGATTTTAATAGAAGATTTATGAAAGTAATATATCTAAGTAGGACCAATTTTTATGTATCAAGTCAAGTGAAATATACTCGAAAAAAATACAGTTTATCAGTAGTAGTTATTTTATTTTTTCATGTCATCTATTGGTATGTGAAATATATTTCTCACTAGCATGTTTCTGATTTATTTCTAAATGATGCTAATGTTTTTAAATTATTTGATTTATTGGATTTATTAGTTGTATATAATAATCAGTTAAGTTTAATCCGTTGCTAATCAACTTCAACAAGAAGTAGAAGGATTTATTGAAGACATCAAAAGTTCATAAATCAGTTATCCTTTCGAGATTCATGTTGAACCTCATGATTAAAACGTTACGTTTTATACTAGTACCATTTCAGTATATTAAAACCATTTCAAGATAACAGACAAAATCCAGTCAAAAATTCTTATGACTTCAAACACTATAAAAATGGAACAGTGATACTCTATGATGTGATGAATATTTACATTCTAGTAGTGGTTTATTTTAAAATAATCCTAGTCTGTCAGACTTACGCTTACCACGTAAAAATTTACTGACTTAATCCTTTAAACTATGTTGATTCACAGTATGATTCACAATAAGAGAGATATTAAACAATCGGACAAATTGAGTTAGAACGAGATCCACTGTGTCCGGGATGGTTGTCAGTTTACCAATATGCAGTCCTATATATTTCTCAGTATCAGTAAACCAAATATGATTCATGTATGAACATTTTATAATTATTGTCATCAAGAAAAGCAACAAAGAGTATCTTTACCAAAAATTTTGAGTTTGCATCATATACACTTCTGAAAATAAAAACAACTATGATAAATTATCCATTCTAAACTTCTTAATTAAAGGAAATTTAAGTAAAACATTTAATATAACTGTTGAATGTAACTTGACACACTGAAACCGGTAAATCAACTTAAATTGTTATCGTCGAGATTCCACAAAAGAAATAGAAATTATTTTAAACTAATACAGAATTAGAACAACACATATAAGCGAACAATACTGTTTTCGATTAGATCGTCATCAGGCTTTACTCTAATATACATGAATATTTATATGAAAGTGTTAAACCAATTAAGGCAATTTGAGTCATAATCACAATGAAATGAAATAGATCATGTATATCTCAATCATTTCCCAACAGAGTTCGATCCCATTTCCTACACATAACAGAGACCATAGAAATTCGTACATACAACCACAATTTATGTGTTCAGAAGAAATTCGTGTCACCCCGATCTCTTCCGTGGCCGGATATGACGTAACTAACGATCCAAGATTGAAATTTTTTGGGGGTTTAAATTTTATTTTGTTATTATTAGCATTATTTTCACATCCTGTATCTGTTAGTAATTCTCTGCCTCTTTCCGTTAATTACGTAATGGTTTTAATGTTTTGTAATGATTATTTGAAGTCTACTTATCCTCATTTGACCTACTACCGATAAAACTTTTGTTATCGTATTTTATTTTTCTTACTAATATCAGTACACCTGTCGTCCTACTATCCACTTGTACTTTTGCCCTTTATGTGTAGTGACGTAATCTATTTCATTTCATTGTGATTATTGAATCGAATTGCCTTGATTGGTTTAACATTTCCATTCAGAAATATTCATGTATATTAGAGTAAAGCCTGATGACGATCTAATCGAAAACAACATTGTTCGCTTATATGTGTTGTTCTAATTTTCACAATGGGAATCTTTAATACAGAATTATTACATTTTGTAAAACAATTAGCATGTTTTAAAATTCATCATTTTTTATATCAGGGGAGAAATTCTATTTGGAATAATGCTTATTTATATCTACAGATTGGTGGTTTATTAATATACATTTTGTAAACTCCTATCATGAAATACTAACCCCCTGACTAGAAGCACGTAAACTATTAAAAGAGATCTCCCGTAATACTCGATCAAGTACAGACGAAATCAGAAATAACAATATGTTTAATATTCAACAACCATCAAAACTATTTAAATAATTCAAAAAAAGCTTCAAAAACAAAAAATGTGTGTAGTCCAAACATTAAACTCAATGTAAAGGAAGTTCTAACTATCCGAACAACGTAAACAATTTCTCCATTTCAATTACATGAAAAGTAAACTGCCTGTTTACTTTACAAACATTACAACTTTTCATACGAAAATGTGTTTCACGTAGTATTACTTTGTATCTGATGAAAAGACATTAGTATGATGAGAATTATTTGAATCTGCAATTTGATGGTGGTTGTTCCTCGCGGTACTCAAACTTGTGTTGATTCTCTAAAGAATCGACTTAATCTTTAGAAATTGTAGGAATTTAACGTTTTCTACCATAGAAACATGTATTCTTATTTAAAATACAGAGCATTAAATGTCGAGTTTGTTCAGTCATGACAGGGTTACTTACAAAAGTAGTGTTGATTTTTAAATAAATTTTCTGGTTGAATTTATTTATTTCAATTACATCAGCCAAATTCCCTAGCTGCCTTTAATGTCAACGAGATTAACACTGCTTTCGATTCCAATTCTATCTATACATTTTGGCTGAACAACACATAAATTCGTAAAATTATTTTAAAAATAGGTTCAGGTCAAAGTTCAGGATTCACTTTTTAATAATGGCATCGTATACAAGATATTAGCAGATTTTTTTATCCTATATTTACTGTACAAATACACAATATAATACTATGGTCAAGCATTTGGTTCTGGAATAATTACATAAAATTTATTAAATAAGATAATCTCATCGAAAATGATCAATAAAATCCTTCCTTCAGCAAATTGTTTGTGAATTTTAATGTTTCTAAGCATATCATATCTCATATTTGCTTTAATTCTCTAGATATTTTCTAATTAATCTTCCCACATCACAATGAAATTACTCTTTGAATTAATTTTTATCAACATTTTCACAATTATTTGTAATCTTATTTGACACAAACTCGAAGAAATTTTGAGTAGACTGATGAACGTACACAACGTTAGGCCGTTGTGTAGTATGCAATAATTTTCCATTGTGTTTTTGAACAGATATCATAAATGTGTACTTCTTCTATTTCTATTTTAAAATCAAAGCAAAACTATCTACAAAAATAACTTCTACCATGGCAATGTTCAAATGACAGTACTGTTTTCATTTAATTATTTGTACACTATCTTGTAATCTACACTTTTTAAATCGGACTGTTTCCTTAAAATCTATTCGTGTTGCTGAATGTTAAAATTTAAGATGTTTATTAAATGAACACATAATTGCTATTTTTGCAAAAAAAAATAACAGATTTCATACAGATGAACATTGCTATTTTATGTTTGCTCTAGACCACAGTAAACTGGAACAAACGAATAATGCATTAATCCGGTTAATAGTTGGAATTTCAGTTTAAATTCAAAACCCAGTTGTATCTTTTCATAAAGTGTATCAGATAAACATTGTACACTTCTCAGTCAAACCGTGATGTACTAGTACGTATTAAATGATGTTTGACGATTTCTTTAATATAATTACGTATTAAAATATCTTATTTCTCTATACTTATTAAAATCTTTTTTTTTCTAGATTACAGGATGTTCACAAAATTGCTAGAGTTCAGAAGGTCAATGCAGAATTAAGAGTAAGTTGAAGAATTCGCCTCCAATAAAATCAGTATATATAAAACCTTATTTTTATCAAAGTGCTTATTTACACATGGATGTTTAGACGGATATATTTCCCATGTACACCCTTGCCCTGAAATATAACTCTATCATAAAATCAAATATTTACAACTTCCACTTCAATTCCATCGACTATTTTTGTGGTCCTAAAGAGAATGTGTTGTCACTTTATCAACCAGATCTTTGTTACTCGTCTGAAAAATATTAACTTGATAGTGAATGAAATAAGTGAACGTAACAACGTAACCCTTCTAATTTCTTTTCAATATTGTATCCTTAATATTCTAAACCCATTGTCCAACTATCAAGAAATTAGAACATGATCTATGAAGCATAGTTTTCATAGGAAACTATCATGTTTTAAATACGGATTTCCTTTTCACTAAAAATTAATTACATTTAAAATAGTTCTTACTTGAAATGAATCTTATATTGAATATATGTCATTAGCAAATAAAATAATTATCAGAATACGACAAAATACCATACCTGAATAATAACTGAATTTGTCGAAATTTAGTCGATTGACTAACCATTAATCTGATTTATAATAGCTTCTCATCGATTTAAGTTTTAGATAAACAGATCATTCAAGTTGGTTTCAGAATTCTTATGGTTGAAGATTAAATCCAAATCCAAAAATAATGCTAAAATCTCAACCAGATTTACGTTAGAAAACTTAAGTATAACTTGTACATGGAGTTTAGAGTCATTTCATCGATAGAAATTAGTCGTGCTCTTCTGGAACAGCGTTTCCAGTAGTTCTTACAATGCTCCCATTTAAAATCATATGTTTGGCTTGAACATATCTGTGCATTTTAAATTATGCATAAGTTATCACTGTCACTCACAAATCAAAAATCTCATCAGCAGTGAGCATCTACGACATCTGCTACTCTCGGGACTCAAATCCAAGACCTTCGGTTTTGCACGCGAATGCCTAACCTCTGGAGAGCTAAGCCGGCATTCATGATATCGATGTGTATAAACAATGATGTCCATAATTCTAACTGAAAAATAACAAAAGAGCGTAGGTCACTACTAAGTTTATTTGGGTTCATCTCCTTCAAATTGTAAAACTGTTTATTAACCCAGATTTTATTCATGACATTTATAAGTGATCACGCTATTTCAAATAATCTTGCACTTTTAAAAAGAGAATAAGAAGTTTACGTAAACGATCAAGGAGTAATGTATACTCTCAAAGTAAACAAGCCACAGATTTTGCCAACTTGGAAATGCACAATATCGAATCAGATGGTGACCAGACAAGTTCAAGCGGTGAACAAACACCCAAACCACGTCATCGTAGACTGACTAATGTGGTAAGTATTAAAAACATTTGTTAGTGTTTAGTTGCTTTTGCTATATTTCTTAGAAGATCATTCCCGTAATCAACGGTCACCATTCTTTTCTATTCACATTTTTCATGGAACTATCATTGTTGAGTGTTTTTTATTCTTCCTACCAAAGATACTAATGTTAGATTAAATTAGTATCCATCATAGCCGCTTCTTTTCTCCATAGTTTGACTAAAAATCGCAATTATTAATGTAAGATTGATGTTGATGGACTGAAATAGGTCACCTAAAATTTCTTTAAAGTTACCGAAGACAGTAGCTGCTATCAAACTTTAATTAATACACCTCCAAGACCATTTATAAGGGGGAGTAACATTTGAGAGGTATATCATTGAGTAATGTAAGTTTATTCTCTTATTATTAATTTGACATTAGATAGTGAACTTACCAAATTATTGTCAGAGTTTCATCTACTGTAAACATGATCTAGTTACTTAAGTCTGTTACCTAGTTCTATCAGAAATAGCTTCAAATTAAATTTATGTTACCGTAGGTGTATACTGAATTCATTGATGAACAAAAAGTGATTTTGATCACCAGCGTTATTAACAAGTTTTCTATCGACTACTCAAAGAGTTATGACTTCATTTACTTTCTAATGATTTATGAACTGTATGTTATTGTTCGGTCATGTTTTTATCCCGTTAATGAATATTTATCAATTCAAGTAAATATACTAAATATGCACAGCTTATCTCATTAGTCACAAGTCTGTGTCATGGTATTTACGACTCATATTAAAACAATATTTTGTTTTACACTTTCTTTGCATTGAATAACGATGAAAAATGTTTTCATTGTAAGAAGTTTAGCCGTATTGCTAGTGGAAAGAAATTAATTCTCACAAAATACTTTCAATGAATTAGTGTATAAACTTTCCCAATTTATTTTCAATCCAAAAGACTCTTTAAACAGTGCAATCTATTATGTAAAGCAATAAGGAAACTCTTCAAATCGTCCCACTTTAGAACTATATAACCTTGACAAATAGCAATAAGAAGGATTATGTGAATATATGCATTATTCAGACGACAAAAAAGATGTGTGAAATTACTATCAAGAATGATTCATAAATATGCATTTAAAATTGATGTCATCAATTTCTAGTCACATCTTAAACTTTTCTAAATATATTTCATTAAAAATTTAGGGATAAACTATATTTTAAAGCCTATCTATGTTTACCTGGAAACTGACTTTGAGTAACGATATATAGTTTGCAAAGTCAGACTGTTTTATACATGGAATAAAATTTTTTCACTGTTAGTAATGCAATCAACTAACAACTGAGTAACAGTGTAATAGAAAAACTAATCTCATTTGTTTAAATTAAATAATTTTTTGTGGAAAGGTATTTAAGAAATCTAATTTTTTTAGTCAACATATTTTACAAAAAGTTGAATTTACTTCAGAAATTCAGTTCATTGTTATTTCAAATACTTTTTTAATCGCTGAGTTGCAACAAATCAATGTACAACACTATACTATCCAGGTTACAATATCTGAATAATCTGAACCAACTATTGAACGTAAAAATAATTATGACATATTCATATCGGTTTAAAATGTTGATAAATTGTAATACTTTCTATGCTTACCTGGTATAAACTAAAAAGATTCTGAAATAGATTCGCTTACCTAATAAACTAGCTGATTTTTTGTCGATAAAAGTTTGTCAAACGTTGTATTTAAATCCTATAAGCTGTAGGTGGCTAATAAAAACGTATAGATAGCACAAATTCATTCTATCCTTGTCACTTTGTTTTTATCTTTAAGTGTTTTTGCATGAAAAATTCATGTCACTCTAAAGTTTATTTAAGTTACAAAATTGCTGAAATGATGTGAATATCAGTTCTAAAAAGAAAAAGCTATCTTCTGCATATTGCAGATGACTAAATAGACACTAAATTTCTAAGTTGATGAATTAAACTATAAAATGAATCATGAATAGTAAATAATTATTTTAAATTAATGAAGTTTCTTTAATGCTTTACAGCAAAGTTTACCGTCATCTGAACTCGTTAGATATGAAAATTTTAACACTATCAGTTTCAAAAGTTCATAAACTGTAGCAGACAGTGAGTAGTAACATGTCTTTATAAAGTAACTGGTCAACATACTGATATCACCTAGATTTCACTAGATAACATTTTCATGATAATTAATGTCAATAAGTTAAGAATTATGATAATCTCAGCCTTATTCATTTCAATTGGAAATAGGATAGATAAAATATTCTTTTTAAAGAGTAGTCTCTAGCACCACAGAAAGCTAATAAGTTCTAGAAACTTAAATTCTTTTGACAACAGAACATATTCCTTGCAGATTTACTTACTTAATAGGTTTAGAGACTGAGACTTCAAGGATTTTATTCATAACTTCGGTATTGAATAGGAAAAACTTTAAAACCTACTACTATTTAGGATATCCAAAATGGCTAGTCAGTTTGAAACGATAATTTATGACCAATTACTTACTTTTTTTCTGGTTAGCGTTTTTTTGGCAAGTTAGTTTTTGACGGAATGGGGTCGCCAACCCAACGTCCAACCCTCCTCCTTTACCCGGGCTTGGGACCGGCAGTAGCCCCGAAGGTTCTACTGGCGGAGTTAATTTATGACCAATAGAATAAGCCAATATTCTACCCAAAGAATTTAAAAAAAGAATTTGTTATTGTTAACAACAAATCAATGGTAGATTATTACACATTTATGTTTTTGTAACAATTAATAATCATTTTTTAGTATCGCTTCAACTATTGAAGAAAATTTTCATGAAAATAAGTTGTTGCTTATTGATTCATTTCTGGTAATTATGCTTTTGTACTTGTTATTTTTTTTTCTTTAACAATTCAAACAAATATGTTTGTGTGAAAATTTTCACCAGTTTTTATTGTACATAGCTAGAATAAGAGTACTATTTTATAAAAATTTGTAACATTTTTATTTCTGTTCATTAAGAAAAAAAATGCACATACTAATACGTATATGTGGGCAGATATAAACAATTTACTTGGTGAAAATTTCAATTTTGAAAAATGACATTTAGTTTATTCATTCATTACTCTTTAAAAGTTACAGTGATACTCAAAATACGGAATTGTGGACTGTTGAGAAAAAATTGATTTTATGAGTTCATTGTTCCATACATTTAGCTTAATAGTTTTATCAACATAATTGACAATTTCATATTGTGTTTTTGATATTTTCTGTATTGAATTTATTATCTTTTTTTCATTTTGAACATATTGAACAGTATTGAATAATTTTTCCTTTGTTTCATTGTCTTTTAAATAGATTCAACGTGCAGGAGATGCTATGCTGTCTATTATGTATCAGATGGCATTAGATAAGAAAGAAAGCCTCAGAGTTTTGGATGATCAAATGAGTCCTGCTTACTGCGAGTCAGAATGGGGAAACTATGACAAAGATATAAATTTAGTCTATGATAATCCGTCTTTTGAAGAAGACACCACAACAAATATCTTAGTACGCAAGTATGTTTCTCATTGACTTTGGTAATTAGCATACAGTTTAACAAAATGCATTTTAAAAACAACACTACAATGAGTGCTACTTATTAGCTACGAATCATCAGTAAAGGTATTTTTAGGAGTTTTTCTTTCATCAGATCTTGATACCAGCTGAAGAAAATTAATTATCACTGAATAGCTATTCCATAATATTGAGGTGGCTATCAGTAGTAGTAATCAGTGACTCAGACATGGATCGAACCGGAAACCTTGAGACTTGCAAAGGGAATGTTAATTTTATATCACTTCGTTTAAAACCATCGAGTCATATCTCTAATCTTAAACTTCAAATCTTTATGCTACCATTATTCATCAATACTGCCGATATAAGTTAATAGATGCTCATATATGTAACATAGATGAATTCCATTAGCCACGACATCTTACTTACTGCAACAGTCAAAAGCATCACTGATTTGCTTAATTGGCGGGAGTAATATATTTACATAAGATGATTATTCAGATAGTACACTGCGTCAGTTTTATAATTATTTATTGCCGATCAAATGAAGAAGGTCATTCAATGCTTGAGCATTTTTCTTACAATTTGATTATAATGTACTTCTAGTAATTCATAATAACATGTTGCACACTAATCTTAACTGGATGGAATTCAAAAAAAACAAAACAAGAAACTTGTAGATGATGAAAATCATTGTATGTCTGCAAAACAATGTAAATGTAAAATATACCACGAGTCACATCATCCATTATTGTCAACCTCAAGGGATTACCAAGATTAAAAGCTTTACCTGTGGATGTTCAAGTTTGTATTCGATAACGTCACTGTATCATATGTTTTAGTAGATCTTAATTCTTTTTACACCTACCGTTGTGTTTTTTGTCACCATTATACATATCTAACTAAAAAAAGCATTCACAAATTGACCATAAATAAATAAATGTTTGAGTAAATCCATCATTTACGTTTTTTTAAATACCACTTGTTTGTTGTAGTGTATATTGCTTTATCATTTTTCTTGTTGTAAAACAGTTTTCTCAATACCAAATAATATTCTACAATCGTTCACTTGAATACAATACTCAAATTCCTTTTTATAATCGGTTATTGGGGCAGTAAGTTTGCATATAGGAAGCCGGAGTAATTCTTCACGTATATGAATAATCATTTTGGCAGTACATCATAATTATAGCCTTTATAGTACTTGGCTACTTACCTCAATGATATATCATTAAACATGTGTCTACATTTTAAGCGTTTCCTAAAATTCCACCCAAACTCTCAATAGCTTGATATTTAATGCTTCGTCGGAAGTTTATTATGCAAATCCTAGCTACCTCATCTAATACACCTTGTCACAACCTTTTCACCTAACTAACATCAATATTATCTCAGAAAAGCCCTCATATGTAAACATGCAGTCGAAATAGATGATATCAAATATCTGGAGTCCTTTTATATAGTCCATCCTTCAAAAGAGTTAAACCTAATACAACTTAGATTTTGCTAAATATTTCGGTGCATCAACGAAGTTAAGCACGTAACCTTCTAATCTTACCGTGGTATAGGAACGAAGTATATATCAAATATTTCAAAATATGTATGTAACTCTTTTAGAAGACGGAATGTAATTTTGGTCAACGACACTTCAAAGTTAATTCATACCCTTGTAATAATGTCTACGTTTCAGTAACCGGGAAAAGAGAGATCAACTTGAAATGCTTATTTTTATATCTGAAATCTCATCTGATGTTATTTGGCTTTGAGTTTTCAAACTAATTAATAGGAATCTTTGGAATTTACAAATTGTTTTAGTCGCTTTAAAGTACCACGAAAAAGAATAACTATACACGTCATTTTGTCGTGTATTGACGTAAATATTAAATGTGAATAATAAATCTTGATTATTTATTATGTGATGTACATCAAATTGTTTTTATACCTGATAAACATGCTTATTTAGGTATGCAAACTCTGTTTCAGTCTTTTAGTTCACCTATTTTTTTTTATTCTTTTAAATGAATTCTAGTACATATTTTTTTTCGAATTAATTACTAATATATTAATGATTTTTTGTCGCTCGTTTAAGATTATTCTCTTCTTCCAGTTATTCTCTTTGTAATTCTAATTAATTTACCGATTATTAATAGCTTTTGAAGAAATAGTATTAAAATACTAGGTAATTTTTCCTATTGGTTGGCAATTCAAAAGAATCACGTACAAAATCATCGAAGACAAACCATAGAATATGTGCCATCAAATATTTAAATTAAAATGTACACAATCATGCCAAATCTACCGATATTAGTTTCTGATCATCATAGTTAAGCCACTCTAGAATTCCACATCATAACAGATTTGATTTGATCGTTTTTATAAGCATCCTACTATAGATACTTAATTTGTACTTTGTAATTCAGTCACACAGCTTATTCCTACTTAGTTGGTAATGTTGATTCTAGTCATATGATATGTAATTTAATAAATGTAAATGATGAACGATTATATTTATTTACATTTGGTATTTAGTTACTTTCTTGTATATAAGCCAGCTAGCTATATTCAAGACTCAATGAAACTGTTAATGCTTTCTTGATGATCAGCTGTTAAAACCAAATATTTTATAGATAGTCTACCACTAATATTAGTGTATCTGTGCTGTTTGTGCTAATTGGTGATTACCTTGTCAATTATTATTCCGCATCTAATTAGAATACCAAAGTTCTCTCTGACTTTAATATCAATCTGTACGCGACTACTGGAGTGGGAATTGGATGGTTCTAGGTATGACCGGTTAGCAAACAAAACTCAACTAATTCTCATTAGCTTCCTGATAAGACGACGAATAGGTTTCTTATCATTGAGTGTAGCTTACTTAGTGTGCATTGATATGATTATGAGTTTTTCTTATCGGTCAACATTCCATTTGATAATAAAAAAAACAGCACAAAGCTTAAAATTTTTCAATTGTGATTATTTATTTATTAGTAATCAATTAAACTTTATGCTAAAAGTAGATATATTGTATAGTATTGTAAAGTAAGTCAATAAGATGAAATCTTTACATAAAGTTTAATAAATAATGGGATTTTTGTATTTTCTCTCCGATAGACTGAAAAAACATTTAATAATTGGCGTTGTACGGGTGTTCATTCATTATCTCAGTGAAAATACTCAACTTATCAAGTGTTGTTATTTATGAATTGTAAATATTACTAGTGCAAGCTGTCTTCATAAAAACAGTATTTTAATATTAATCTAAATAGCAACGGATTACTTTTATGTTTCCATAGATTTTTAGAATAAATGTAATAACATCAAAGATAATAATAATCAAACTCTTTTAACAATTTTAATGATTCATTCACCTTACAAGTATTTGTTTGTGTTATTATTGTCGGTAAAAGCGAGGGTTTTTTATTATAGTAGTACTTCAGGATAATAAGGTAGAACTTTAAAAAATTCTTACTTTAAATGGAAGTAGAATAACTCTGGAATGAAATGGTTTACTAGATAGCGAAATGTCTAAAAAGAATACAGAATCCTAATAAAATACAACTCAGAGGAAACTGAAGACAAATTTTTCAAACATCAGGTCATTTTCATTACCAGTTTCAATGTGTTTACTTCTAATTATTTGAATGTTCTCGTAAATAAACCAACGTTTCTGTAATGAATATCGAATGTTTTCAGACTTAGCTCAGGCGTTATTCATTTTTAACATAAGGAACAAATTTTAGTGTAATGTATCTTTTTTGTGTGTGTTTATGAGCAACGCAATGAATTTACCAATGAGATTAAATAAATATCTTCTGTTAACAGAGTAGTATTCCATTAGTTATTCGAATTCACTATTGTTTTATATAGTGTAAAGTTTGATTGACTGACTAGTCATGTTATTCATATTCCTTAATTTGAAGCCAAATTAATTATACTTAAACTCTCAGTTAACTTTGACATTATTCCTATTACACAATAGATTTAAGACAACGCACACAGTAAATAAGCATTCATTAGTTGGCATCTGAAGTCATTCAGCCATATGTTATTTTATATGATAAGAATTTTTTTTACTGATCGAAAATTAGCTACCGGATTTGCAGCGTTTGCGTGAAAAGAGATTTTAACAGATTATTTGTATTCCTTAGTTGAACTCATCATCCAACTTCCGTAACTTGAGACTTTTTTCTGTATTGACTGACATAATCAACGAATAAGAATTTGAATAAACTGGATGTTTCTGGAGGACCCGGAAACATGTTTGCCTGTCAAAATCCTATTAATAGGTTTTTCATAGTGTATTTACAATTCCATTTTAGTACTATCAAATAGATTTTACAGATTGATATCAAATAAAAAATTTTTTAATTTTAAGAGAATTAGCCTCACTAGAAGAGCTTTCACAAGCCGGTCAACGATGTACATGGATTGGACAGGATTATGTCAATTGGAGTTTAGTTGAACCAACTGCTAAAGAACATCCTGCATTAGGTAAGTAGTAAAATTCGATGTGCATATAATTATCTTGACAGTGTTATATTTCTTTCTGTTCATTTCTAGGAAGCAACTCTTTTCATACTTGGAGAATAATACGCAGAAGAATTTACATTAGTTTGCAGTTTTTGCATCTCATGCTATTAAATGACTACCTTGTCTGATTTGTAGTCTAATCTGAGAAGTATCGGTATAATTAAGAAAAGGCAGCACTAAGTCAATAAGCAGCGTTGTTTTATTTCATCTGATCAATAGTGAACATATTATCAGGATTGGAGATGTTTTCTCATCTATATATAAAGTCGCAAGTAATTTTTCAGCAAAAGCAACATTGCACCTTCAAAAGCATCACGTTATTTTTATTACCTGTTTAAATGTTAAATTCTGATTATTTCAAAGGTCTAGTAAATTAATATTTCGCTTGCATATGGTAAATATTTTTGAAGTCATCTATCTAGTAGAACCAACCTGATCTGTGTACAGAAGAGATCTACTCAAGCCCATTGTTTACTCAAGTCTACATTAAGATTGTCGCATTCTTTAGCCAATTTTTTAGTGCACGTAAACAATTTACTCTTTCTCCCATGTCAGGGCATTGTTCTCAATTATATATTCACCTTCCCTATTTTAACGTGATGGTCTTATCACTAATTACTGTTATTATCACAATGACTAGAACACATTTCCTATTTTTTTTCTTAACTGACACAATTTCGACAAACAATATTTATCTGTTCACTAAAACTGATTACCTTCAAACGCTCTCTCCCTTCTTCGTGTAAGATCCTTTTAAGTTGAGAAATACTATATTCGCTTATTGGTTAAGTTTTGATTAACGTGAAATCCAAATTTTTCAATCCATATCACAAAATAAGCTATTTATTAATATGAAATATTTAAGAATTTGATCAAATGTTTTTATTAATGTGTAACATATCATCGTATATTGGAAGTACTATTCATTCTTTCAAATTGACAATGAACTTGTTTTACCCGGTTTTTGAAATTTACAGATTTAGTGGACAGAACATGTGTTCCACGTACGCCATGGCATGATGTTGGCTGTGTGTTTGTTGGTACTGCTGCCTGTGATATATCTAGACATTTTATTCAACGCTGGAATCAAATTCGAGTAAGCTATACCATATTAATTGGATACATTTAAATCATATACTGCTTACTAACTAATTACGTGAATGTAATATATATTATTAAATAATTCTAGATTAGTTTCACATTAAATTAACAGAATGAATCCACAAGTAAATATCTTTATGATAATTCAGTATCTTTACCATTTCTTGTCGCTATGTTAAGTGTCCACTTTAGTTAGTAACTCAATAATTTTTCAAGTACACTAAAGATGACATATAAATGTGCAGAAATATTCACACTGTATTAACATGATCAATAAAATACCATTTGTACTAGAAGATTAAAAAAAGAAAAAACTAAACTTGATATATGAGTAGATATCATCATATCGCTTATAATACAATATTATGATGATGCATATAAATATTTTTATTTAATTGGTAAATTGATATGCTGATTTGTTTTTTCTTGTTTTCTAAATTCATACTCCATTGTGTAATCGATTAAATTTATGAATGAACATTGGTTTCATACCATAATCATCAAAAAAGTTTGTTTATTTTTATATTTGCTATTAATTATTTCACAGGAAATTCATACTTTTAGTAATTCGATTATGATTTTTGAAGATTGGCGTTTACGATAACAGTTACTTTCATGTACTAGCAGTAAATGATGTTATTATCTAATAGTCATTACAAAATTATGACAACTTTCATAGTAGTTTTACCTTGTGAGTTAAATTTAAGAGAAAAAAATGGCGTTGATCATATTTCTCCTGAAAAACAATTTGCATTTACTGCATCAGAAAGAAGATTAGAGGAGCGATAATTTCTAGGACTGATTTTTGGATTACTTACTACTTATGACCTCATTGTATAATTTATTCAATAGCTAGATTATAATATACACCTTTTATTACGATCTTCCAATTAACTCATTAGCTATTGTTGTGTGATTTATTATTCCAAATCTATTGCTAGTTTACTATTCACAGCCACTTCTGGCTAACTCATGTAGAAATGTATTTTCTCGTAGTGTAATACAGTCTGATGTGTTTGGTATATAAACCATGTCTAATTGATATATACCAAATGTTGTTGAGTCTGGCTTACGAATATCAGGACTAAGTGTCAGGGTAGAAAGGAAGAAGCCATCTAATTGTGGACCGATAAGGATTTCGAGATGACTCAAGGTTTCTGGTTCTAATCGTTATTCGAACTGATGTTTTGTAAATGTTACGTGATACTGAATAATAATTAAGGATACAGCAATATTGTAGTAGAATATAAAATTTTCACTTGTATTTTATCACCCTAATGATACTTGAGTTGATTAGAATCGATGGATTAGTTGATATGTTTCTTAAATTCATAATGAGTTAATAATCAGTCATGTTAAGTTGATGTCACTTAACTTCAACATTGTCTCTTTTTATTTCACAGTCACATTATTGATGACGAATTATTTAATAATATTTTAATAATAGTGATTAATAAACAATTCATGAAAATCACTTTGATTGGCAGTTTATCGTTGTACTATAAATTTTAAGGTATCTTTGTTTCTTCGATCAATAATCTACATACAAACATAAATTAAGTTTTGCTATGATTATTTGAAGATAATTAGAAAGTTTTATGTTGGTGCAAATATTTTTTTTTACATCAATATTATAGCACAAACAATGAATAGTAAATATTATTACATTGATATTTTATTTTAAAATTAGAATTGTAATTAAAAATATTACGATAAGAATTATTGAACAAAACATTTTTCTTGGATAAAGTTTTTTTTAAAAGTCATCAATATATGAAAATAAATCTGTTGTAAATGTTATTATCAATAACTATTAATAGATTTTTTTAACAGAATTTAATAAGTAACATTATATGTATAGGACTGTGTTTAAAATGTTATCAGTGACAAATTATGAAAATATTTGTCTATCGTTTATAAAAAAAATTTCAAACTTGACACACTATTCTTTTGAACTTCTCGATGTATATCTCATCACAGTTGAAACTGGTCAGCAAAATGTATACACAATCTTAGTTGTAAAGTTAAACTAAACTGTGAACTCAGGCACCCACGACTTAGTAATAAAACCATATTGTTGTTGGTAGACACATGATATGTGACAGCATCATTAAAAACCTTTGTGTATAATTCTTTAGAACATAAATAAATATTGAATACTGTTTTGGAATCATTAAAGACTAAGGGCTTAACAAGTGTCACTGTATAGAGATTTCTACTTGATAAACACGTTTCATTCAAATAAAGTTATTTCATTCAGCTACAAATTTCATTCCTACTATGCAATAAATTCCATAACTTTGAAGAAATTCATTTCTTACAAGATGTGAGGTACCAAATGAATAGTTTGAATATGTATTTTCCGTATTTTTCTCAAATTACATCACTATTAATTGCTAACTGTTGTTAAACAATGGCCAATCACTGATTTTGTGGCATTTTTCCAACCTTCGATTTAGTCCAAGTGGTATAAATCTATTATTAGTTGTTTACTAAGACTATTGCACTGTACATGTAATATCAGTGATTATTAAACAAAAGATAATAAATCTTATTTTCAGCATTTCAAATAATAGAAATAAAAGTATTTGCATTGAATAAGTAGTTGTTACAGTTTTATTTTTATTATTTCAATGTGCTGACAATTCAGTACTATTGTAATCATGATTTACTATTAATAACTGAATCTAAAAATTTGTTTACTTATCCAGTCAGACTAAAAAGCGCTTTGCAAACAGATATCTCAGTTCACTATTGATTTATTTTATCAGAAAATAATTTCAGTGACTGATTCAACATTTTTAACTCCATTAATGATGATGATGTCGATGAAGTGCATATCCTGAAAAATTATGCGTGTGTTTATCGACCCAAACCGTTTTTAAAGTAGTGATATTAGCAGTCTAAATATAAGAGTTCAACATAAATATATTTCATTCAGTCGTATGAGCAGCCATACAGTGAAAGTAGTAAGTGTATGTCATTTTAGAAGTTGATATATTAGCCAAAATCAGTTTTATCTGCTGGATGAAAAACAGAGCCACAAAACAGTTCATTATGTAAGTAGTAAACAAATATATGCATATTGCAAAATACAGATGTATGAAGCCGACAGACATGCAACTACTCATATCAGATATTATTCACAGTATAATTTAGTAAGACTAGAAATGACACGTTAACTGGTCAGGCTTGTACAAACAGAACAGGTTCCATTACCTTGTGATAAGAACCCCCACAGAATATGATACCTTTTCAAATTTATTTTAGTTGTACGATCATTTTTACTAAAATGAATAAGTCATTAGTGTGCGTTACATGGTTATACGAAATTTTTATCCAGAGTTTTCAGTTCGTGAAGTTAACATACTTAATACCTCATTGTAAAGCTGGTTGCAATTTTACACAGGTCTGGCTATAAATCGTTTGTATTTGAATTTTTCCACGTTCGCCACATGGTCACTAACTTTTGAATTAATTAACTGAAATTTTTTCTTACAGTCAAGGAAAATAAGGTCTGCACCGAAAGGAAGTGCTAAACGGATTATTCAACGTCTTGTACCTGCTTTATTACCTTCCCACCAATGTTCTCCATGGACTGAAACAAAACTGTCAACTGTCCTTGTGGATCCAAGGCAATCTGCAGTGTGTACTGTACAGGCTCTACGAAGTATTGCTAACTGGTCATTAGGAGTTCAGTTAGGAGATAAAAAAGGATTTCGTAAATCTTTCCGTAAACTATTTCATCAAAATTTACCTAGTCGATACAAAAGTAGCAATGATCTTGACGAAACCAAAGAACAAATTGGATTAGAAAAGTCGGTTCTGAATGCTTACATTGATATGATAAACGAAGCAGAAAACTTTATATATATTGAAAACCAGTATTTTATCAGTTACATTCTAAAACCACAGGAAGATCAACCTGGTGACGAAGATATTGAAAATGACGGAAATTCCACCAATGAAAGAAGTCCTCATAAACCAGCATCTGACCAGCTTCAGCCCAGTAACTCTAATGGTTTGGTCAAAAATCGTATATGTGAAGCTATCTATCTTCGAATTTTACGGGCTTATAAGTAAGAAATACTAAGTTTGTTTTGTACATAATAACTATTACTAGAATAACAATAGTAAAACGGTTCCAAAATTATATTTTCTAGTTCAAGACTCATCACTAGAGCACACGCATACCACATAAGAATGAGTCAAGGTTCTTTCGGTCTTGTGAAAAGTGTAGTACTTTAAATCACAGAGTCATAACTCAGTTAGCAAAATAATAAAAAAATCTGGAGATACATATTTCCAACACGTCATTAACAAATACACTGAAATACAGTGCATGATTCTCTTCCCACAGTTTGGTAAAAGTAATCTTTAAATTTGCACCTTTATTTTCGTTTAGCACCATCAGTAACATAATGAAACGTTCTGCAGAAACTGCTATATTAATACGAAGGATTTGCGGAAATCGTAGTATTTTCTTACTTGAAATCATGAAATGATCTTAGCCAGAAAAACATTACAAACTTGGAAGCATTAGATGACAATTTTAGTATGGGCTTACTCATGAGTCACCATCCACGTCATTCACTTCACGATAATGCGCAACCCTTCATCCATTAAATGGATTGCGTAACTGTGTCATATTTGACACAGATTGAACACTACTGGTCACGACTTCCCACTGGAACTCCATCTTAAAGCTATGATTAGTTTTTAATTTATTTTTAGTTATCTTTGCTGCTTTTAAAAGTACATTGTTTATCAAATGAACAGTCGTTCCGTGTGATTTTAGAGGAACAAAAACTTTCAGATTCACAGTCTCTACATAGCTTATTTATTTTAGTCAATAAATTGACGCATAATGTATAATTTTATTGAAATACAATCAAAATTATTTCAAGGTAATATCTTACTGGAGCTTAGAAAGAGTCAAACTGATGTTTACTCTTTAACAGTTTAGATGAGAAAACCTTTTAAATCATACCTAACAATCGATAAATATAAGGATGAATAAAAGTAATTTAGTTAAAATTAAAAATCAATACTTTTTGATGGCGCAAAATGTATGAACAAGGTTTTGTGTGTATTTGCCAATGTTTGACGAAAAGTCAATATCTTTCTTTGAAATATTCTGATTGATAAATGTGACTTCTTACAATGGTATCTATCAAAAATTTGCAATTAGTTAGTTATAATACTACAAAGAATTTGTCACCCATTTTTAAAATGTATGTTGTTGGTCAAACTTGTTTCTATTGCACTTAAAAACAGAATGAAATTGAAATGTTCCCTGTACATAACAGTCATGTGGTAGCTAGGAAACAAAAAGAATAAATAAATCCCGAAATCGCTGAAATCATCCAGTATAGATTGATAGTAGTAAACTTTATCATAAGACCCATTTTTAGAGGGGTGACTAATCTATTGCTATCTAAATACTTGAAAGACATTCTGAATAACTTCGTTTATTTCTACCTTTTATTCTCATTGAATTTCTTGAGAAATGTATCGGCAGGAGACAATGTCAACATACCACTGATTTCCTGTTAGATGGGAGAGGTTTTCGGACTTAAGATCACACTGGAGCAAACTAAGTTTGTCGCTTTGAACTATGGATAAGTGCAAGTGTTAAATAAATTATCACAAAAACATTTGAATATTCAGCTTACTTTCCTACATTTCACCGAACCATTATCCTAACTTATTTTTGTAATCTTGAGGGAACTGATGCTTTCTGGTGTCGTTGATACCGTGCGGTTCAGCTTCACAGTCAGAGATGTTGTCGATGAGCTTTCCAGGTCCCAAATGATCTCCTGTAAAACTGAAAAGTATTTATAATTTATCGGTCATTAGGTAGTAACCGATCCCATGTATGTTAGGTCCTTCTTAGTGCGGCGTTTAGCCAAGATAAGTCAGCTAATTATTGGCTCAATCCAGATTACAGGTATACGTTGATGATAAATGCCAAACAGCACGAAACCTAGGTCCAGCGTTTCCTGTAGACTACCTTCAACCACCTTATCACATCTCAACATAGTGCACACGATGTCGAGTCAGTTAAGTTAGTGACCATATTGCAACTTGATTGACAGAATTCGTTCAGCGCTATGCAGGATCTTACATACATAAGATTAGTTATTGCCCAGTAATTAACCAATCAAAAATAACTTACTCCTTTATCATGATTTTAATTGATTGTTCTACAAAGTTAAAAATAAATAAGCATTCTGTGTACTGTATTGTTCGATTTCTACTTTTCAGTGAAGGAAAAATATTTCGAGTTTTTATAATGCTCCCTTCACTTACAGCATTCAAAGGTGAAGTTGGTACGTCATCTGGCAATTATATACATGCAATTTTACACTACACACGACAAAGCTTGTTTACAGGTGAATATGCTTTAATTCCCCGGTTGAAAAATGTTTTACCAAATCCTGAAGACTATGTTTCAATATGCAGCTTAAGAACTTATGATGAATGGCCTGATGGTTCTATAGTATGTTAAATTATTTCAATTTAATATATAACATATTTAGTTAAGTAATATTATCGGAATTAAGGTTATTATACAAACGACTAGAAAATTAATGAAAGTAGTTATGTGTTAAAACTGAATTAGTCAAAATGGTTCAATTGGTGTGACTGAAAAGTGACTGATGATTATAGAGTACATTCATTCTTTACCTTTCTTCGTGGAATTTACACCCTTTTACTTCAGTCTCATTTGCTGCTTTTGATTTTCAATATTTTTGCTTTTCTTCATCTCAGTGAAATTATTTAATAACATCTACTCCATACAACTTTAATTCTCTGTTTTATTTAATTATTCGAAAGTGGATTAGTTTTTATATCATATTTAGTATTGAAACATCACAGTGAATAATTATTCAATACTAATAATTAGTGACTGTGAAATCACTTTAATCTATTTTTAGTTTACTTTATTTACAATTTCATTACATTTTTTTTTATTCTTGTGCAACTCCTTTCAAAACTTTATTCATAACTGATTACTTTCTTTATTCAATCTATTGATACTTTGATTAGTTTTTGGTGTATGATATATCATGTCAGTCAAATAGGTGTGTAGAAAATGTTTATCAATAGATACCCCCTAACTGTAGCATGAATCTTTTATCTTTTTACATACAATTTTCAAAAAGAAAAAATAAGATTGAAGAAAAATGTATTATTATTAATCAAAATAAATTCACACGAGACAGACATATAAATATTTCTTTAGAAATCAATAAACATGTGAATACAACGTTTACAAATATTGAAAAATCAAGACTTCACTATTGAAATAGCTTTTTAGTGCTAAACTATCTGTTTCCGATTCCATCCTTCTCTTTACATTTTAGAGAACAGAATTAGTTTACATTCATAGCAAAGTGATGATTGTTGATGACAAGAAGATGATTTTGGGATCAGCTAATATAAATGATCGAAGCATGTTAGGTTTTCGTGATAGTGAATTGGCTATCACCATAGAAAGTAATTCAGAAAATGATTTAATTGATGGAAAGTTTGCGAATTCAAGCGTGAAAGTACATCCGTTTATACAAAGATTTCGCAGAAGTTTGATGGCCGAATTCCTCGGAATGTTGCCAAAGATTTCAAAATATTCTAGAATGTATATGCATCTTGACGTACTAAATGACCCAGTGTCAGATGAATTTTTCCATGACGTTTGGAATGCAACCGCTGTTAAGAATGGAGAGATTTTCGAGAAAGTGAGGAGTTACTTTTTTTTCTATAATTTTACGTCAACAAATAACTCCAATATGAGACTTAAATCTTGATGTTCACCAGTCACATAATCACAAGCTCGTAAATATCATTCTCAAGATAATGGATTTCTGTTAGGATTGATTAATATTTTATAATAAACAGTAGAAAGTAGTATTTTAACTAGAATTAAATCCTGAACATCAAAAAAAGGAGTAAAAAAGTTACACTTGGTTAAATTCAAACTTTTGGATGAAAGTTGATAACTGCTGGAAATTTTCTTTTCTTAAAAAAGGATAACAGTCAGTGGTTGTCGGTTTACAACACGGCACATTTGTGCATCAGTGGACGTTGTCATATCACATAATCATAATATGTTAACATTATAATACCAGACAAGTCACTTCTTCAAAAATTTAAGAAATTTAGGTAGCGTTGAGTCAAATATTCTCTAAATATAATAAAATGTACAGGTTGACGACGTTTGATGCTGTTTGTGATTGATATTTTACTTGTCACTTCTTTGTTAACAGGCCTATGATATTCGCTTTCTTTAGAATAACCTGATTTTATTGTACAAATAATGAGTTGTTCATATATTACTTTTGGACATATTGTCTAGTGAAACACTATTCACATTGAATTTATAAAGGTTTTGGAAAACTATAATGACAAGCAAGTGTTAAAAATATCATATTCTTGTCAAAATATGATACTTAATGTTGCGTTCTAAGAATTTACAGGTAATTAGAAGTTGTAATTAGTGATTTACACTAGTCAATTTATAGCATTTCGGTTTTTCATATGTTTACACATTGAACATTCCATTATAAAGCATAATATGATGAAAATTTTGTTTAATTTCTTTTTTTTTTTCAATGAATAGGTTTTTAACTGCATCCCTGGCTCAGGTTTATTAACCTTTCAAGATTGCGCTCAAAGGAGAAGACAAGTTCCTTTAATAATCAGTGATCGTGAGAAAGCAGTTGAGTTGCTTAAAGACGTAAGAGGCTTCTTAGTTCCATTTTACTCTGATTTCCTTGCAAACGAATCACTTTTATTTCCAGTAGGAAGTATTGAACGAATGATTCCAGAAGTGATTTGGACATAATGCTCAAAATAACTTTTCAAAATTAAGATAACTGAAGATACTTTTATTACTTTGTCTTTCTAAGATATTCACTTATTTTTAACTATATTGACGACTATATCATAAAATTCTTATCTTAACTTCTTGAAACTTTTTTATTGTAATTTAGATTCCATTAACTTATTTTTACATTTGTTAAGTGTAACTTCCATACACTTTAAAAAAACATTTTAGCATGTTTGTTTATTGCCAAATAGCTTGAAATTGAATGTAAAGAAAACTTTAATTATTAGTAAACCATGAAGTTTTAAAGGATATTTTTCTGGTTATGCAAAATGGTAACAGAAGAAATACTACTGAAATTAACTCTAACAACAACTTGAACTGATGAATCTGCTACAATAGGTTTATTTTATTCGTATAAGTAGTACCGATATTAGTTATTAATACTACTATATGATACATATTACCAAAATAATTAACTGCATTAAGAATTTTTAAGTATGTTCTTATTTTTCTAGGGATATATATATATATATATATATATATATAATTGCTTCAAGTTCGGACGTCTGGATAGTCTATTCTAATACACTTGTCCCAGGCCCTGCTAACTAGAGCAAGAAGTTTTGATAAGGCTTATAGAATGTATTTTACAAGTATCCAGAAAGGTAGAGGTTCCTTAGCATTCAATTCAAGCTTATTTATAAAATGACAAAACGCCCTTGGTGTGAGCCGCAAAATAGCGTACTAAAACAATCCATCAAACTATGGCGTTTCGTACGATATACTTCTTCGCGGGAGAACAAATGTTACTCCCTGACTCAAGGAATCAAGAAAGAGGAAGAAGTATATTTGATACTGGCCTCGTGATACCAGAATAATATCGAGGCAAGAGGGCGTACAGAAAACTAACGTCCACGCAGGAGACGTGCGAAGAAGAGAATGGGAATAACACGCTTGGAGCGCGAGAGATCGTTTTTAGTACAGATAAACAAGAGGTGTACAGTATACCAATTTTTGTCAGAATTAAGTACAGTAATACATGTTTATATTTCGGCAGTTGTGATCGCTTCGTAAAAGTAAATCACTACTAACCAATAACAGTCAACGATTTTCCGAGTGAGAAATGTGAGCTGAAGGTCAACTGGGTGTCTTCAGCGCAAAAACGAAAAATTCAAAATTTTAGAAATAAATTACAAAACTCGGTCCTTTTTCGAGTGAGTTCTTGTAATCTAACATCCCTAACACTATCATTTCCAGATTCTCCATAAATAATAGAAATGAATATTCTGTGGAAATCCTTAGCCGTCAAGAATTACATGAACCACGATAATAAACGGAACTAGATCAAAGTAGCTTACGGAAATTTAGAATTTTCACCAGATGATTGTCTCATATATGAGCTACTATCCTATTCAATTAGATTCGGAAACTTTGTAGTGAGTGAATCTGTTTCCATTTATTTAAACCTGTCTAACTTAAAGACAGTACGGTTTTAAACTGTTAAAGACTAAAACTTCACTAGCATAATTCCACCACTTAACCGATCACACCTGATGTGCTTTAACCTATTCTTCTTATCTCCTGGACCTAATTCTCACTCTTAATATAATTACCACCCAAATTACGTACATTATGAAAATGGCTTAAAAACCAGGCGCACCTTATATTCAAGCTCAGTGTTGGTATGGTCAACCAGCTAAAAGCTCTGGTCCATCTTAATTTATGTAACATAGACATAAAGACAACTAAATCCATAGTCCATACAAAAAACTAGAGCATCAATTAAATGTATCGTGTTAAGCAATGACGATTCTCTTCTAGGAGTCGGACGGTCAATTATCTCAATCACTTAGCCGTGATTAGGAATAAGGAAGAATTGACATCGAAATTCATACAAAGATTGAAGCACTCCATGATAAATAAAACAGAGGAGTAAGCGCATTCGTGCTTGGCACCATCAATGCAAAAGGACTATACACAACAATCTTTAATAATTGTTTCTATAGAGGTCAACA